GTCCCTTCCAACCCAGACCATTCTATAATTCCATGATTCTAAGTCAAAGAGAAATTATTTCCATATTTGAAATAAGGTGTAGAAGTGGAAGGAGGGAAAACATTTTGTGAAAGCATTCTCAAGTTTTCTGTTTTACGGGCAAGTTGTAAGTCCTGCTCTAAGGTGCATCTGTTTATGAGTTTACAGGACCAGTGGAACTGAGGAGGTAGGAAACGTGGTCTAGTCCACAAATTCAATTTTCAGATTTTTATAGTGACTGGAAATACTTGAGATTTATGACCAACAACTTTCTTAATAAATACTTATAAAGACATCAAAATTCCAAACTATAATCTTTAAGTCAAGACTAAGACTATATGTTATACCATTATGTTAATGATGAATACAGGTTAGTTCTATGTTTTCTAAACTAAAATAAATTAAATGTTTTATAGTGCCGTGGAATTTCTATTTATTTTCTAGGAACAGAAAAGAGACAAAATGGGATGAAGAACAGTACAAATGAAGAAACAGAAGCTACAGGCCAAGCAGGATATGCCGTAGTGGAGGATTTGAAACAGCAAGAAAATGTGAATGATAGTTTCAGCAGTGAGAACAGCATACTGGAAACATCTATTGGAAAGAGTTCTGTAGTTTTAGGTATGTCCACTAACTGGTATTTTTTGCTGGTACCACTGAAACTTTAGGCAAGTAACTGAGAGAATGTACTTGGTACATTAGCTCCCATCTTGCTCAAACATTCAGGAACATATGGTACCATCGAGGTGAAGGGAATGAATGGGAAAAGTAAATCTTGGGTTTTTTTGGAAGTGGTAAATTCCATTTCTTCCTATGAATTAACGGCAGCAACGATGTTAAGGGTCAGAGCTACAAATTTGTCTGGTTCAAAGAGTTGCTGTAGGACAGTAATATGTTGTCGTACTTGAAATAACTAATCTGACAGGTAAGAGCTGGTTCAGAAACCAATTTGCTGGCACAGTACAGGATGGCTTAGGCGGACATGGCCAAAAAACCTGTAGCACAGTATGTGCAACCTTCATATAGACATTTTCTGTGTCTTGGTTGTAGTGATGACGTTTTATCTGCTATGGGCTGCTTGATTTTGTTATAATGGAGCAACATTAATGATCTCCCTTTCATCTTAAGTAGCACTTTTAACAACTTTGTCTTATTATTTTTTAATTTACTGTGTGAAGAAATGAGTCATTTTCACACATATTTAATATTGTTAGTTAAAATATTAATATTATTTAAATGAATACTTTATTTCAGACCTATTCATGGTAGGTTTTCTATTATCCAATGAAAACATTAGATTTACATTGACAACTCCTCGCAGTGTTGACAAAGTTTAAATCAAGAGGAATGTTTCTGTACCACTGTAACTGCAGCTGTATTAAGTACTTCTTTCTAGAAGGCTGGTAATTCTATACTGGAAAACATTTTTGGTTTTGGTGAGTCCTTTAGTGCTGTCCAACGGGTAATTTCTCTGTTTATTTTAAGGATTTATATTTACAGAGCATCAGACAACCTTTGTCACTTATATCACATGCTCAGAAGTACATTTTTTAGTACAAATTTGTAGAAATTGTTGTGGCCTGTTGTTCTTATGGATCTACTTTTTAAAATGTGCCTTGGGAGTTGATTATGAGCAACAGCAATTACCAGTAACAATTCTCAGACGTAGCTGGGAACCAATGATTCAAACATATGCTGTATGATTAAGGAACCATTCATATGTGTTGCAAGTTCAGTTGGAGCTCAAACAATAGTTAAACTGAGAGAAATCCTGCCTGAAATTATATTAGTGGGCTTATTCAGCCAAAGGAGTAAGACAGCTAAGGCTGCTCTTTTTTTATCAAACATGAATAAATAATAAAAAAAAAATTGGCTCTGAAAACTGCCGCCTTTCGGTGTGCAACAGTAGTAGCCTATTTCTCATTTAGCATGATATTAACAGCATATCACAATGTTTTGTAGCAAGTAGTGAATTATTAACTACAGCAAAAATATCAACTTGGTTTTCCTGGATTAGAACATAACTTGGCAGTATAAAGAAGAGGTGCCAAATATATAGTGATGATTCAGGATGTATCAGGCTGAGTTATCCTCACTCTTAGTTAAGATCCTTTCAAGGCAAGGCTAAGGCTCTTAATTGCAGCCTCACTGAGGGTAGGTCTTCATTGCTGTGAGCCTGATCCTTTACCTGACTCTTGTCAGGTTGAGGGCTACGGATAACTAGACCTTTTAGCTATTAACTAGCCTGCCACAAGCTAATTCTAGCCTGGAAACTCTGGTCTTCTCGGCACTGAGCTGTACTGAAATCAATAGACAGTGGGTATTAGCAGTTTGTGCAGTTGAGCGGATCTGTTCAGTGAAATGGTGCTCAGGGTGTACGTGCTACATGAATTCTGGCAGTTTGGTTCTGATTGACTTCAGACTAGTGTGGACTGTATGCCTGCAAGTGGCTGGAACACATCTCAGTTGTTTTCATCTGATAGGAGTTCATTTCTTCTGATCCAAACCATCCCTGTGATATGAACCAAAGTATTGTAAGTGGGGACAATTGACAGATTCACTGTAAGCATGCACTTCTGAGTTGAACTAAACCAGCAGTGTAGATGCAACGTAGCAAGGGCTGCCAGGAGACAGTGCTGCATGAAGATGGCTGTAGAGGAACTGGCTCACGTGCAGCCATCTTGAAGCGCAGTAAGCTTTGATCTCTATGCACGTGTACACACAGACTTAACTGTACTTGAGTCTTTTTCCATTTCCATCCTTTCTCATGATCTCATGAGACTGTATTTTTAGACCATGCAGCTGAAGATACAACTGGAGCCCAGATTCTGCTTCCAAGTAGGCTGGAACCCACCTAATTTGCAATTTGATGCTGTCAAGTGTTGTCAGTTTTGCAGTACACTCCCACCATTCCTGCGTGTATTGAGAAGGACAAATTTTAGGGAGAAAGAAACTTTTTAAAGTCGCTTGAAATTACTGCAATTTGCATTGTATCTAAAGCCTCCTCTGACACTTTTATTGGAGTAGCTGACATGGATTCAGAAGGTATGAGGGCAGTAGGATCATAAAGACAAAGTACAAGTAGATAATTTAGCCTAAGAGAAAACAAAAGAGAAATTGTGCATGCAGAAACACAGATAAGAAACTGCACACACAAAAAACAACACAAAAGCCGTAAGTTTGCAAGGTCAGAAGTGAAACACTTGGATTAAGGCTACAGTTACCTGTATAAACACTTTAAATAAACAGCAGCTCTGTTTTCCAAGGCCTGTTTCATTAAAAAAAGTCAATTGGAACAAATAATTACACTGTAATTAACTGGAGATTTCAATAATGTCTTACAAAATGTCCCTTAATGCTTCAGATTAGAAAAACTGCCCATTAATTTGAAAATAGGACCAGTTTTAATAGCCTGTTTATATTTTGGTCCTTCATTTATATTTTCTCATGTTTGAAACTTCTTCTATAGCATAATATAGCGCAGGACAGGAAAGAAGGACTTTTTAAATTAATATTGCATAGATCCTTTTTTTTTCATTGCATTCCATTGTCTCTATACATATTAGTCAGTTCAGTTGTAATTCAGACAATTATGTACAAAACGCTTTGTGAATGCATATTCTCTGCTGCGTATCCATCTTTCAGTAGGTCATTTTAGGTGGGAGACCACATGGAACAAATACATAGAATTTTAATTTTGTCCTCTCTTTCCTATCCACATGGATTCTTAGAAAGTGAAAATGAGAGATATCAGTGTCATCTTCATAGCTGGAATTCCCACTAATGCTTAATAGTTTGTCACAGGTCTTTAAACGTGTATTATAACTGGTGAGGTTTTCTTCTTTTTTCAGGTCAATGATGTCTTTTAACATGATATTAAATGCATACTGTTAGATAATAATAGGGAAATTTTATATAAATCAGGCTTCTGCTGTGAATATATTTTTAAGTGCCTTTCTGTTGATTTCATTGATTTCTGGGAGATTAGGCTTTTAATTTAGGTGTTTAAAGTCTTTAATGCCCTTGTCCATCATGGTGGTGATCCCTAGTTGGATCAGATTCTGAAGTCTGACAGCAAGACAGTTGTTTGCATCACTTTTCCTGGTTATGTTAGAAAAACTGAAAACAAAGACTTAAACAAATACCTGACTCCTGGTGGTAGCTAAGGTAGCTTCCTTTCAGTTGTCTGTCTTACACTTGTTCTGTGAAATAGCCGTTTTGTTTCTGTTACTCATTTACCTTTCAAGGAAACTAAAACTTGCATAAATGAAAGTCAAATCTTTATATTTTTACTGAACATAGAGTAGGTTTAATTTCCACCTCAATTATCAAGATTTTGTAGTGTATATTTCAGGAGTGCCATTCTAAGACATTATAACTTCTGTTTAGTTCTAAACTTTCATTCACAGAATCTATTTTGCTGGGGTCAGTAAGTTGAAGACAATATGGATATGGACCATAATCTGATATTCGCTGGAAAAAAAAATTCAAAACTTGATAAGACACAAGTTCACTAGCTAATTAAGCAAAACATAAGTCAGTGCTGCTGTTCTGACTGATTTCTGATGCACAGTGTGAGCTCAGTTGCAGAGTGCTGCAGTGCAGCGAGCTGACAACACAGGGTGGGGCTGTTTGCAGCAGATTTTTCCAGAAGAACTGTTTATCTCTTTAGATATTAAAAGGACTGAGTTTTGGAAAATCTAGCTATATAAACACTCGTAACTGAAAAAAAAAAAAAAAAAGTCAAAATCTAACTATATAAACACTCGCGAGTACAAAAAAAAAATAAAGTCCGTGTACTATTTTGATTGCCCAGCAGAGGGAGAGCTTAACGTTGGAATATCGAGAGTAAACTTGCCAGATTTCTGTGGCGCTCTCCAAGTCTTCTCTTGGGTGTATCAGGATTGTTGGTCTGTGCTCTTACTTGCAAACAGTTTGGAAGATTTAATAATTCCACTTTGCTTTTATTTGTCTGGGAACTATGATTTACTCTTTTCATGTTACATGAAGAAAACCTTTAAAAAAAAAATCACAGTTCTGGTTTTGATTTTCTTCTAACTGCAGATATAACTCACATGGCTTACAGGGAGTGAAAGAAAATGTCTTCAGTTTGCCAGCAGCACTGTGTATCCAGTAGACCAACATGTTTTTCTTCCTTTTTTGGCTCTTCACCTGCCTCAGAAAAGATACAGTAAAATAAGACTAGAGGGGATCATGCAGGCGGTGATGCCTGGGCCCTTGCTTTCAAGCAAAAAGAACATAGATGCCTGACAACAATAAATCATGACCCACATTGCCTTATCTCTGCTATGTTTTGTATTTTCATCTTCCACTCCATATTTTCTTCCATAAGAAAATGAATTTTATTGTTCACAGTTTTTTCTTTACCTGAGAAAAAGTTTAATAAAGAAAATTATACCTCAGCCATCCCTGACAGACATTTGTCAAGCCTATTTTAATGAATTAGGGAGAGAGCAAACAAATGCTTTTGCTATTTATATTTGTATAGCAAATATACTATACTAAATTTGTTTGTGTTTTTCATTTAGAGTCAGATGTCTCCATAGGAGATGGAAGTGTCAATAACTTGAATGAAGACCTAGGACAGAGCTGCACAACCAGTAATTCAGGTATGTTTCCCTTCTGTTATTTAGTAATTGCAAAATAAGCTCTGGAGGGCAAAGACTTTGGGAATGGACTAGAACAAAAATCAATGGAAGGCTTTCACTGTGAACTCTAGTTCACAGTATTTAGATGCCAGACTTCCTCTTACTTTGTTGCCATTTTTATGGGTCTGGACTTAAGTCCCAGCCCCAAAAGAGTTAATTTACTGAGATCATCTGAATAGGTCTGTAGACATTGTCATCATACAAAATGGTCAGTGATGCAGAATGATAGAATCACATAGTTTGTAAGGGACTTCTAGAAGTCATCCAGTGCAATCACCTGTAGAGAAACTCATAATGCTGCCTTATTTATGTGCTTCTTTTGTTCTCAGAGAGGAGCTAGATGTGCCTGGCCCCTGCATAGGGTAAGTGAGAGGGAATAGGACGTGTTTTAGAGGTATCTAAGGATGAGAGAAGCATTTCCAGGGTACCTGAAGAACAGTAATGAAGGTCCACTTTGGACCTAAAGAATTCAGTAGCCCTATTTGTAAAAGCAACCTAATCAATGGAGGTTACTACCTGAAGACCTTTGCAAATCTCACATTTAAACGTATGTGCAAGTTCTAAATATAGTTTTAAATTAAATATTGGACTGTTTTTACATAATACTTTGCAGACAGATGTGAACTTGTTACGCATATGCGCTAAGCCAAATTAAACACTGCTGTTGTAAGACATCCCTTTTTTTTAATCTTTTTTTTAATCTTAGACCTCAGGCAGAACAAATTTGCAGCTGTCCACCATGGTGAACAGCCTGTGTTTCCCTATACAGAATTCAAGAGCAACCAGTTACCTTTTGGAATCTGGCCTTTATGAAGTTTGTTCTGGGACTGTGTCATGTGCAGGGGCTAGAAACAATCTAGGTACCTTTCAGGCTAGTTCTGCCTAATAAAACTAGTATTAGATCAGTAAAGTCAATGTAAATGTTATGTATCATATGCCTGTGAAGTGTTTACTATAAATGCTTTTAAAATAGCTTTAAGCTTTTTAAATGTTAAAATCCACATATTTTATAAGTCCACAGAAAATTCAGGCTGTCTCAGACCTAAATTGCTGCTCTATAGTTAGGATTTTAGTCTATGTATTGCTAACACTGAAGAATATACTTTGTACTTCTGCATCAACTGAGGTGACTCATCAGTCACATTGTATTGTTTTCCCCACCGTGTCACATGAAATGTCTGGGCACAGAAACTTCTCTGTTCTGTGTACAATCACACTATATCAGTTGGTCAGGCTGATATAGGCTACTGGTATGTGGTAGCACATATATATATATGGCCTGATCCTTTAACATTCCTGAACAATCTCCCATTAAGTAAATTGAGCATTGGCTATGTCGAGTAGCCCAGCAGGAAAAAATAAATCACTACAGTTACGTGAAGAATGCAGAATATATTTTTTTTCCAATGTTTACTTGCTTTATGTTCTGTTTACGGGTGGGCTTTAAAAACAGCTAGTTAGTGTTTTTTAATCAGGCCTAGTAAACTCAGTGAGTGCAACTATGAGAAAAAAAGCTAAGGAGATACAGACGGGCTTTGTGATATTTATGGATTTTATAATTTAAAATTTTTCAGTAAGGCTGTTGTATTAACAGAGATGTTTGGATAATATCTTAATTCACTGACGTGATTTGGATTTTAATGGAAAGAATCATGTAGACCTAGTTGCAGTTTTCTGTGCAAGGAACATTTTACATTTAACAAAAATGGTGGAATAAGAGCAATAGAAGAATAACTATAATGTTTCTTTTATCCCAGAGCAGCAATTCATATGAGCCTTGTATGAAGGCAGACAACTTCCCTAAAGTTATACTGTGCATGATGAAAAATATTTAATGGAATAATATCCTATATTAGCCTTTATCTAAACAGGGGCTGAGGAAGTTAGGAGAGAGCTAAGTTAAATATTTTTTTAGGCCTGGACAGTTAATTGAGGATGTTAAGAAACTGAAATTTAACCAAACAGATGGGTGATAAAGTGCTAGTTTCAATATAGTTGAACTATTGAATTTAGCCAACCAGAAAGCAAACAACGTTCTTCCTCAAAAGAGAGTAGTAGAAGTCAGATAAGTAACAGCAAGTACTCTCTGGTGTGAATTTCCCTGTGATCCAGATAGTACTGTACTCACACTAAAAGGCAAAACAAGCAAAAAACACTTAAGAATGGCATTCAGATGTTTCCATCAGCAGTATTTTATCAAGCTTCATTACTTTTTGTTAGTTTAATTTTATTTAATGGAATCAGGGATACTAGAAAAATACACTTATTTTATGTGTAATGTATCAGTGATAATAAAATCCTCATGATTCTTCATTTAATGATATCATCAGGAAATAAAACTATAGGGTTTTTTCCCTCATTTTTAGCCTAGTAGAATGAATTTGTACCTTTCCTTCACTGGGGACAGTTAGTGCTTGGAGGGTGATTTAAATACATCTGTAGGGGGAAAAAAGCTCCGTTGAAATAAATCCTTCTGATATTAATATATATAATTTCTGACTTCCTAACTATATGTAAACTCAAGAGACTTTATATTCTTATTGCCTGAAATAATGCAACAGCATTTTTCCACTTTTAACTTTGAACATTGTTTCACCTGTGAGCCATAGATCTAAAATCTCTGTCATTGCGTTTTCTAAGATAGATGGAAGGTTTTGGCCTTCAGGTGGCAAATGTATATGGTATTTTAGTGAACAGCTCAATTGCATTATGTATGAGTCAGTCTGGAAGCAGTGCAATCAACCAGGAACAGGTGTGATACATTCTGCAGTTAGCTCCATCTTGAATGGGCAATTGAATTTTCTTATCTATTTGATCTTTATAACTCCCTTCATCACTTTTTAAGTGGTCCCTATCTCTTTTTCTTTCCATGCCTCCATCTTTTTTTCAGCCTCTGGGAAGTATTTAAAAAGGTAGCTCACTTGCTACCAAATAAATTTCAGTACTGGTGAAAGAGAACGTCACCTAAGATTGGCTAGATTATAGATACTGCAGCTCTGAAAACAACCTCTGTTGTCCCAGTGCTACTGAACTGTATCATTTTAATTCATAGATAATAATAGTCATGTCAACACAGATGGGTGAAGGCATACTGTGGCTTATTGCACCTACCCTGGTTGGGGACTGGATGTAAGCAGTTTTGATCCAGAGTTGCACAGGTCCACAGAGCACCATTGTGTATGTTAATATGCCCTGTTTCTATTTAATCAGAAGATGCTTCTCATAGTAAATTAATTTTTTTCCCTTTGACATTTGTTCAATATTCTGATAAATGTTCTTTGCCTCCTATTTGATACTTACATTTCTTAGATGAAGATGAAGTGGAAAGCAGAGCTTCACCTGAGCCAGATCTAATCCTGAGAGATTACCAGATGGAAGTTGCAAAGCCAGCACTGAATGGGGAGAATATTATAATATGTCTCCCTACAGGCAGTGGTAAAACCAGAGTGGCTGTTTACATTACCAAAGATCACTTGGATAAGAAGAAAAGAGCATCAGAGCCTGGAAAAGTCATAGTACTCGTTAATAAGGTATGTTGGTCCATTTTTTAAAAAAAATTTTCAAACTTCATGCACTGTTAATATAGAACTTGTAAAATTAACATAAACACATTTCTCAGCTTTTCCAGATGTAGCCATGTTTAAAGGCATACAGCTCTAGTCTCTCATCTCCATTGCACCATCATCATGGTACAAGCATGAATGATTTTAGTTTACTCCGGTGCAAGTGCAAATTTAGATGTGTCCTAATAAACACATTATTGGAAAAAACTATACTTTCATGTTAGAATGAATAGAACTAAAATAATATTTCAAAAAATAAAAATATTTTTCACATTCTGTGTTTGGATTTGGTAATGAAGGCCATCTAATGAGTCCCACAGTAGTTATGGAATATTCTATCAGATTTTCTGATAATTACTCTAATTTTTACAGTTAAATCTAGCACATGCAATAAAAAGTAATCTATTGTAATATTAAAATGTAGAAATTCATTTAAGAATTTTATTAAAAGAATAAAAGATAACCATGTCCTCCTATAAGGATAAAACTGATAGCATATTATAAACTCAGTTAAACAGACAGAGCATACATGGTTTGTTCATTCTCTCTAAGGCACAGATAAGCCAAAGTTCTTGGGACAAGAAGGTTTCATAGGAGCAGTTGGAGGGGAGGGGTTGGTTTGGGGATTTTTACTGTTTTGGTTTTTGTGTTTGATGGCTTTTTTTTAATCCTACTCTGCAGTGAATAAGGGGACGTTTGCTTTTTTAAAAAAGTGTATTTTGTGCTAAGTCTGTGTTCACCTAACAACACTTGTGGCAAACAGGCATGTATTTTTAATCCTATGCATTCTCTGGTTTAAATTATTTGGAAACTTTTATTCAGGTACCATTGGTAGAACAGCATTTACGAAAGGAGTTTAATCCATTCCTGAAGCGTTGGTATCAAGTTATTGGTTTAAGTGGTGATTCTCAGCTGAAAATCTCATTTCCTGAAGTTGTCAGAAGAAATGATGTCATCATCAGTACAGCACAGATCCTTGAGAATTCACTGTTAAATGCAGCTGAAGAAGGTGAAGAAGGTGTTCTCTTATCAGGCAAGTTTTTAATTCTGAAATTTTTACAGAAGGGCTACAAGTATGTCTCTATTCTGGAAAATTGCACAGTAAAAATGTGCCGCATTCAGTAGTTAATGTTTTTCCAGTTGACTGGTTTTATAAATGCAAGCTGTACTCTGAGAGTCAAAACCACATCTTAATGAGCATGCAGTTTCTTCAAGCCAAATTAGACTCTTACAGTTCATTTGTACTAAATATTTGTTATGCTTCCCACTTTATCTAGCTCAAGCACAACTTCATGCAAATGCAGCCATACTGGTTCCACTTTCCAGGCTTGGTAGAACATTGAATTATATCAGATAGAAGCCATAAACAGGATGAGAAAAAAATTATAAAACCAAACATGTAGTCAGTAGTTTGAGAAATACAATGGAACACAAGATAAAAGCCAATCTGTTATAAATGGTACATTGTTTAAACTCTTAACATTTTTCTAATGTACAGAGATAGGATTACTTATAACCGTATCTCTCTGAGGTTGGCAGATATAATGCTCTCCTACAACAGATGAGGAAAGTGGAAGAAAATGAAAGATACAAGATGAGATGAGGTAATTGTTTGCCTAGAATACTAAAGTGGCAGATATCTATAGGAGATCGTAAAGGAAATGGTCATTATCTGCCAGTGACGTACAAATAATGGAACAGCCCATGACTTCGTCTCCAGGATTTGGGCTGCAGTGACCTTCCTCTGTGAGATGATAACTTCTCCCTCTATCTACATGCAGTCAACTGTTCTAGATGGGGCAGGATGAATGTCAGAGCTATGATATTCAAAATAATAGATCTGAGATAGAAGAAGTACTTGTATGGGTGTTACAGAAACAACAGAAAAACCTGAGGGGTCAGTCTGTGTCTGTCAGTGCCTAGTGCTGACTGGAGTACTGCATGATCCAAACTAACTTCTGCAGAGCCACTTGGGTACCTCAGAATTCCCTCCCCTCCTTCAGAATGACTTTTTATTAACCTAGGCAGAATACCAGAGTTTTTCTTGTATTTATTGCCTTTCCACTGCACCTAAGTTAATAAACCTTCCCAAGTCTGAATCATTTGGGAATGCCATATAGAGGCACCTGAATATTTCTACAGGATCTTCTGACCTGATTAGAACTGGGTTGAGTCGCAAACAGCTTGTGTAATGAAGTGGTTCCTTGAATGGGTTTCACATCCTGCAAAGCTTCCTTCATGAGGAGCTACATTTTTTTCAGAACTGAGGTGGCCCTGCAAACAGGGCCATGTTTCCATGCTGTTACACCTGTGCTAATAAATTCAGCCAGACTAAAGCCAAGCAAGCTTGAAGAGAGCCAGCTCCGTTTTTATGACTATGACTTAACAGTTAACTTGCAGCCTGCAAAAAACATCCTAATTAGTTACATGGTTTTTATTCCTTATTTCTGTTCCTACATTTTCTATCTGTTTACACAGAGGTCTGCATTACATGTAACACAGAATTCCAGCATCTTGTAGGGGATTATCTTAATTGCATTTTACCAAATCTATACCCTCTTTACCAATGACTGAAGTCACTGCATGGAGTTTCTAAAAGCTGTGTATCACTTAGTAGAAGCACATCTCTTCTGGTGGGTTAGGACCTTCCTGAGTAATGATAGGAATATTCATTACAGAGATGATGGTCAAAATCAAATTGAGTAATTTCATGTTGGCAGAATATCTGACAAACTGCCAGCACTGCTTCTGAAGACTTGCAATACGTAGAAATTTACAAATAAATATAAATTTGGGGTTGAAACCACATCAGTGCAGTCCAAACTGGCTTCCTGAACCACTTGTGTGGAGGCAATTACATTTCTACAGTGACATGGAGCACTGATTTGCGTTCCTAGCAGTACTTTCTGGTTTCGCCTTTAAATAAAACTTCCATTGCTCAGTCTCCACCTTTCTTTAGGTTCTTCAAAGATGAAGTTACGTGGTATTTTCTCCAGCAGGAAGGCCAACTGAGAATGTTCTATCTCTCTGTTAGTTTCCAGCTTCTGCTGCCGGTTGTTGCTAACGCATTTGTAGTGATGCAACAATTTGAGCACACTAATGTGTAAACAAGACATGGAAATTGTCTGGATTTAAAAAAATAATAAAAAAAAAAGTGTAACCCTGTTCATTTCAGTGACCTGCTTTACAGTCATTTCCACAAACATTTGTCCAATTGGGGGAAACAATGTTAAATTGTAGGGTATTCAACATGGAGAGTTACTGGCCAGCTGGAGGAAGAGTGGGACATCCATCAACCAGTTTTGCTGTTAGAGAAACAGAGAAATGTTCATGCATCTTTCAAATCAGAACGTTAAAATATATATCACTGTCTGTATATGCAAATAGATTGAGATGTTTTCTATGTTTGTGAGAAATTTAAACCAAACAAAAAATATTCTTAATTTTCCTTATTGTGTCAGACTCTACCTGTTGCATGTAAATATGATCTGACTAAAGAGCACATAATACATGTCTGAATCTCAGCTACAAAAGAGAGATGATTGGTAGTGCTCTCACCATCTGTTTATTCTTTCCGATGACACATCCATAAAGTAATATAAATCTTTTAATTGGACAGGAATAGGGAGGAAATCTCTGTTGCTATAAAGTGGAAGCATATTTTGATCAGGACAGGCCTTTCTGGAATGTCTGAAAGGTTTCTAACATGTGTCTTCTCATAAACAAACAGTACGTAGTTTGTCTAATACAGTTATGGATATAAAAGATAGGATTGAGTTAAACTATGATATATTCTTACCACTGGTTATTAAAAATATCTCTCTGAAATTCTTTACACCATCAGATTGATTTTGCAAAAATAGAAGAGCTTTCCACATTACATGAAATGTAAAAGTAAGTACTTGACACATCAGGAGTGCAGCAGAGATTCCAAGGTCTATTAAATATATACAGCTTCCGCCCCCACCTTCCTCCAGCACTACAAATTTCCTAATATGTTAGGGCTCAAACAAACTGACTGGTTCTCTTCAACAGTAAGAAGAATTAGTCACACAGATTCTATATTTGAAAGAAAATTAATTATTTTTTGGTTCATTTTTTTTCAGATTTTTCACTCATCATTATTGATGAGTGTCATCACACTCAAAAGGAAGGTGTCTACAACAATATAATGCGACGTTACTTAAAAGAAAAGAAGAAGAACAAGAAGCTAGCAAAAGAAAATAAACCACTGATCCCACAGCCTCAGATTCTGGGACTTACAGCCTCACCTGGTGTAGGAGGTGCAACATCCAACTCAAAAGCAGAAGAACATATTCTGAAAGTAAATAGCCCTCACATTTGCAAATCACCAAAGGAATATTGTATTGTTCAAGTAAAACTTGAAGTCAGTGTTAGGCTCCAAACATATAATCTGATTATTTATTTTTTCATGTGTACATGGGAGTTCAGCTCACAGCCATTCAGTAAACTGATCCACTACAAATTAATGGAAATCCATGTACAAATAAAGATTACTTTACAGGGAAGTAGGCTAACTGAATAGGGAAGTAAAAAGATTGCCTCACTTGAAAAAAATTCTTAAGATCAGAGGCAAGAAATCCACAAAATATGAGGTTTTTCTAGTTAATAAAAATCTTATTTTTTCATTGCTGGATTAGAATTTATTGTGTATTCCTACCTAGGGAGATCACAGTATTTTATAACTCCATTTCTGGAGTGACTTAACTGGGCTTTCGTGTGGATACAGGAAAGTGAAAAACAAAGTTGAATACTTAAACAAGCAGAAACCATTTGTGAGATACAGGTAGCATACAAATGTGTTTCTTTAGAGCAGTTAGAGTTACTCATTGAGAGAGGAGTAGTGTGTAATTGCATAAACACCTGACTGGAGATAATAATTTAAATTCCATACTTAAACAGACTCTAAAGAAACTCTGTTATAGTTGAAATTCAATGGATTTACATTAGTAATACAAAAGTAGAATTTAGCCCAGTAGTCCAGTGAAAACTCCTGACTAGCAAATTGCACAAGACAAGAACGTCATGTTGAATAGGTGGGGCCTGCAAGAAGCTTTTATGCTGTATTGAAGTAGACAGAATTGCAAGGTATTTTGAGACAAAAACTTTCTGGCAGTGGAAAAAGCAGAGAATTCCTTTTTATCAACTCTGAAATCTTAATGATAGCATGCTGGGGTTTGTCTCTAAAGAAATGTAGTCTGAATATGCAAGCTCAAATAGATAACTACTGCTGAAAATGTTTAAAAAGGTTGCCTGTCAGACTTCCTTTCCTGTTTTCTCTGCTCATGAAAATTTTAAGGTTTCCCCTTGTTACTTTAGTGACAGAAATGTACATATTTTCTTCTCAGAAGAGATCAAAAGCAGAAAATTACAGTTCAGTTGTGCAGTTAGCACAGAAATTTTCTCTATCTCTTCCTGTTCCAAGAAAGATAATTTCAAATTATTTTCTACTCTCAGCTCTTACTTTTGTAATTACTCGCTAACATTTATTTTCTTTTTTTCTATTTCACCATTATTTTTGTTTATTTGTTTTGTGCTCTTCTATTCCAAAGTATCAATGGTATATTTTCCTTTTCAAAATACCTGTTTTGCACCCTGATCTGCAAGTTTTTTCCTGTGTGCAAGGATCACTTCTGACCTAAAAAGTTCAGCTTATGTCAAATGCTTTTCAAAGACTTGGTCTTTCTTATCCTGATACTGTCTGTATCCAATTTTTTTTAGGAAGAAGATGAAATTATATAAAACCCAATATCTGAATGAGAAGCTCTGTTGCATTAATTCAGTTTTCATGTGGAATAACTCATTAAACATTAAAAGAAATAACATTTTGTTTTCTCCCAGATCTGTGCCAATCTTGATGCACGTAGAATCATGACTGTTGAAGAGCATGCCCCCCAGTTGAAGAATCAGGTGAAGGAACCATACAAGAAGACTGTGATTGCAGATGACAAAAGAAGGGTATGTTTTTTCAAACAAATCAGTGTTAAAGTTATATTGCCCCTTAGAAGCGTGTTGTATGGTATCAAAAACTTTTGGCTAATGCTCTTTTTCTATAGATTTATTGCGATCCGTAGTGCTAATTTGAATATGTGTGTATTTATCTGCTGCTTCCCTCTGTATGCAAAAGTATCAGTAAAGTCAAATAGAAATAAATCTTACATATTTGAGTTACATTTTTGAGGTGTCTGGTCAAAAGACCTTCTGAACCATAGTTGAAATGCTTGTATTGGAGTAACATTATATTCACTAAAAAATACGTTATTTCACAGCATAATTTTTGTAATATTCTGAACTATTTATTTCCATAACTCTAAATGCACTTAAGTGACCTTACTTGTTTTTTAATTTAAGGTTGAACATTTAAAAAAATCACTCAATATGGTACTAGGCAGAAGAGTTTGGGCCAGTGTTTTTGTTGACAGAAGATGCTTACTTACTTATTTACTTTGGTAATCAATTTATTTCTAGGATCCATTTAGAGAGAGAATTACTGAGATCATGACAGACATTCAAAACTATTGCCAGCTCCACCCAAAATCTGAGTTTGGAACTCAGCCATATGAACAGTGGGTGATTAGAGAAGAGAGAAGAGGTAACCACGTAGCAAAAATATCCTAGCTTTGGATTTCTTTGGGATATTCTACACACAGGCATGATTTTGTAGTTTTTGTTCACTTTTAGCTGCAAAAGAAGAAAAACGCAAGGAACGTGTCTGTGCAGAACACTTGAAGAAATACAATGATGCTCTCCAGATAAATGATACTATCCGAATGGTGGATGCATACAATCACCTAAATAACTTCTACAAGGAAGAGAAGAGTAAGAAGATCCGATGGAGTGATGATGATGATGATGATGATGATGATGAACCAGCAGTATCAAAACAGGATGAAACAGATGAATTTCTAATAGGTTTATTTCATGGTAAGTTTGAGATACATTGTGATATTTCATATTTAAAATCCATAGAAGCAACTAATATGCAGTACCATGATTTGCATAGGCCTATTAATTATTATATCCTAGTGATTACCGTGTTGTTTATTATGACTGTACCTGGATGTCCCAGCTCATACAGTATGGAGTACATTGAACAACATTATAGTGTGATTGTGTGCCAAGATGTAGTAGAAATTCTTCAGCTTTGGCCCAAGGGCACTTTCTTTTTGCTAACAGTAAGTAAAATTGTTCTCTGCTTTTCTCCAGTGAAGTGTCCCTGAGGACACTCTGATAGATAGAATGTGTATTCCAGTAGACACTCTCAAGGGGCAAAAGTTGAGCAAATGGAATACAAAAGTAATTAAATGACAATATTTTAACAAACTTCTTCTACCAAAGTTCGTTTGTCTGTATACTAAGAGATGGGAGCGATGACCTTAAGTAAGTTTAAGGTAAAGAGCAATTATTCAGAGAATTAAACAGAGCATTAAATTGCAAAGATCAAAGTTAGTTGCCTTTTTTTCAGATCATTCACCTGGGAACTAGGATTCATTCAGTCCTTGACACACTAATCTTTTGCTTCTCTTTTTCCCTTACGGCCTTTACAATGAGGAAGAGGTAGACAAGTTTGCTCCCATTGCCTCTAGCTCCTGGTCAGTGCAAAAGAAAATAGATTTTACTGCAGCATGTATCCCAACTTTATGTATCCTATGAATTACAAATTTAGAATGCCATCGTTAGGAAATTCAGGAAATGTTAAAAAAATCTTTTAGAAAAGTAGATTAGGTTAGATAATGTCATTGTGTTTTTTAATGACTCTTCATACATGTCCTGATTCCCCCTTATTTAGAATGTCAGTATTGAGCTATTGCTGAGAACCAAAAAAATTAAACTAAAAAATTAAACTGAGTTGTCTAGATTGCTTTCATTTCCACAGGTAAATGAATTTCAAAGAACTTGACAGTGAAAAGTAAATAATTCTCCAATCTGTTTTAATTTTACCACAGAGGGTGCCAGACGTAATGGAAAGAAATCCAGTGAATTTCTGTTTCCATCTTTTAAGACTGGCATTCATCTTTGGGTGATAAACTCACTGCAGCCCTTAGAGTAGGTTTAACTAAGGGGGAAAACTGTGGGAGTTTGTTGCATCTAAGCATCTAAACTTTGATTACAGAATCACAGAATGTTAGGGATTGGAAGGGATCTTGAAAGATCACCCAGTCCAATCCCCCTGCTGGAGCAGGGACACCTAGATGAGATCACACAGGAAGGCATCCAGGCGGGTCTTGAATGTCTCCAGAGAAGGAGACTCCACAACCTCCCTGGGCAGCCTGTTCCAGTGCTCTGTCACCCTCACCAAAGAAGTTTCTTCTGAAGTTTAAGCGGAACTTCCTGTGTTCCAGCTTGCACCCATTGCCCCTTGTCCTATCATTGTTTGTCACATTGGTTGTTTACATTCTGCATCTAAAATATTAGTAAGACTGTAGTCAGAGAGCCACTGCCTAAGTGGTTTGTGATACAGACTACCGTTGCATGGGACAAGGTGCAGTGCAATAATCTGCACAGGGGGGTGACATCAGAGTGATTGTAATATCTTAACACACAAGCCCCCCCACCCCCCTTAAAGTGTTATTACTGTGTTTGAATGATCATCCGACAATGATATAGGCTTTTAAATACTAGAAAGTTTTTAACAATTTAAAACATGTGAGGAATCCTCCCTGGTCATGCTTAATAGTGCCTGTCTAAGAGAGTAATTCATTTAACATTTCACTGAGCATATTGAAATGTCTTTAAAAGCTGCAATACAGATAACAATGCACCCATCCTAGTGTCTATTACATCACATGTTTCTAGTGAGGATTTCTACACTAATGAATGCCCCAAGGACAATCTATGTCTAAATTTAAAAAAAATATACCAACCCAGGGCTGTGCCTATAAATCTGCTTCTCCTTGTAAGTTTTTTTACAACTGTTTTGCAAATATTATAAGCTTTGATTTAGCTCTTTAATACAGTGCACTTAACTCTGTACCACTTCTGGTGTGTAGACAGAGCTTTTTCTTTTGCTTATTTTCACCATGAGGTATAGGCAAAGTGTGTGTTAAAAAGTTAATGCTGATTTATTTTGATTAGTGTTTTTTTAATGAATGTAAAGTCACTTGAAAAATAAATTGGTATGCCACAGCTCTTCAAACTAGATGTGAATTAGCCATGCTGGGAGGATTATATAGAAAGCTCCTCTTTGGTTTGTTTTTTTTCTAGAGCTGTTATTTTACATTATTACTTTTTCTTATTTTACATCTGCTATTTTTAAAGCAAAGAAGAAACAGCTGAAAGAGTTGGCTAGAAAGCCAGAATATGAAAACGAGAAGCTAATACAGTTGCGAAACACTTTAATGGAGGAATTCACGAAGACTGAGGAACCTAGAGGAATTATTTTCACAAAGACTCGGCTAAGTGCCTTTGCTCTGTTCCAGTGGATTAAGGATAACCCAAAATTTGAAGAAGTAGGAATTAAGGCCCATTATCTTATTGGTGCTGGACATAACAGTGAAATTAAACCTATGACTCAGGTACAGCATTCAAATCTCTTAACGTGTTTTGAGAGAACAGTTTTAGTGCTTGAACAACAGACTGAAGTTTGGAGCCCAGAGTTCTGGTTTCATACCTGCCAGCAATTTACTATCATAAGCTGCAGGATAGGTGAATAACAATGTCAGAATAATTTTAGTTCCATGAGAAACAAGCTTTTTTGGTTTTGGATTCTACAACAATAGGAACAACATGCAGACATTTCCTGTATGTAGTCAAAAGGGACACAAACTGTAGTGGGGCATAGGAAGAAAAAGTGAACAAAATGACAACAGCAAAAATGTGATCATTAAATGAGTTTATATTTATCAGGACAACAGTAATTCAAATTGTATTTTAGTTGCTCAATTGAAAAATAAAATAAATTACACTGTTGATTATGCCTGTCTTTTTCTGATGTCATTGCTTAATCAATTTATAACAATTTATATCCATGGTTCACACTGACGCATGATCACTGAAAGAGAATTTGCCAAAATTTGCAATGAAAATTTCACAATTGATCACTCAACAGTCCATCTTGTATCATTGTATTGACTTCATACACAACAACTCTCTGATGATTTATACCAGAATTTTCAAAACAAAGTACCTCAGTATCCTAAAACCTCTCTTCTGTTCTGTTTTTTACTTTCCATATAATTGCCACTTCAGCATTTAAGCAAAAATGGTGTGGTTTACTGCTGGACAGAGTCCATTTCCTTTAGCTGCTTTCAGTTAAAAAAAATTAAAAAGTTAGGAATTGTTCTCTTAAATAAAAGTTACTTGTTTTCTATGAAAATTTGTTATTTAATCTGTGCACCATATTGCACAAACAAAACAGTAGCCTCTACATTTTGAAACTGAATATAGCAAATAGGAAATTTCTATCCCTCTGTTTGTTTGAAGTGTCCAGCTAATTCATAAGTCCATGTTTTGGATGCTTTATTTTTTAAGTCTATCATTACTTCTGTGCTTTTTAGTGCTCCCCAGATTCACCAAAATGATGGCCCCCATTTATTATGGGGAATTTTAAGTGCTTTGGAACTTGACTTGGAAGTGTTAAAGTCTGTCCTTTAAGCTGAAATTACTGAAATGGTAGAAATCCAGAACCTTTGGATAACTACTTAAATAATTTGAAAATGATAGAACAAAAAAAAACTGTATTCAAACTCCTAGCACCTATGAAATGGGCTAGAAAGTTCCAAGATCAGTTAAAGATCTCTTAAAAAGACTGTCTTCTGCTCCCGCCATCCTCAAAGAAGGTGCTGGACACTTACTGTATTCAATAGGAACTTGTTTGTGATCTTGAAAGATGCTTAAATGCAGTTGTTGAAGCCACTGATGTTTGGCACTGCACTCTGAAATGATTGGACTATAATTCCTTAAACCTCTTAATTAGAAGAAGCTGATGACTGAAACTAATACTGGAAGTTAATATATGGATTTTTGTTTAATTTACAGAATGAGCAAAGGGAAGTAATTGATAAATTCCGACGTGGAAGTGTAAATTTACTTATTGCTACTACTGTAGCTGAGGAAGGCCTAGACATCAAAGAGTGTAACATCGTTATTCGCTACGGCCTCGTCACCAATGAAATTGCTATGGTGCAGGTATGAGTTTACTGCATACACAACTTATTTTTTAAAGTGCTTTTCTGTTTGGAATATGCAAATAGTGAATCATATACCTGGGCTATGGAGAAAATTTTGAAATTCTTGCCTTCTAAAAGAGAAAATGTTCTTGCAACAAGGTTCATTTCCAGTTGCCATCCTCAGTTTGCATGCAATATAAAATTTGTCTCCATGTGTAATGGAGTAACATCCATTTAAAGCTCTACACAAACAGTAAGCTCTTTTAATAGAAAAGGTATGAGAATATAATCAGCAGACTGGTTGATATAAAAGCCATTGTACCACCGACAGCTAAGAAGAGATAATTGTGTATCAGAATACCAGTTTGTCCATGTTCTCACTTAATTTGTGAACACAAATATTTATATATTTAATATTTAAATGCATGCTTATTTTTGGTGACAAAATACAGTTTCTGCCTTGCAAAATGTGCTAACCACAAATCTCCTCAGTACTATTTCACAGGTATCTTTAATGACAATGCAAAAACAGTATGTGTTATTCACTGATTCTTTATCTGTCTGAGTTAAGTGGGAGAGAATGTGCTATGGGGACACTGTATAAGGAACAGTGCATGTATTCGTTTACAAAACTAGGAAAAAAATGTTGTGCAGTGTTGTGGGGAACATTATGCTGTTTATGTTGTATTCCTTGCAAATTGTAGGCTCGTGGCCGAGCTCGAGCTGATGAGAGCACCTATGCACTTGTGGCTTCAAGTGGCTCAGGAGCTGTTGAACGTGAAGATGTTAATATTTTCCGTGAGAAAATGATGTATAAGGCAATTCAGCGTGTCCAGAAGATGCCACAGGAAGAGTATTTAAATAAGGTATTTACTGCAACTCTGCACTTTCCCTTTATAGAAGACTGATTTATATTGTAAGAAATACTTTCTATTTGAAATCTACCTAGGGGAGGAAAGCTTAAAATAATATTAGTTACTACATATGGCCTTGAATCCTTCTGCCAATATTTGTTTTGTAATCTATATTATCTGGGCCTTAGAAAAGTCTTATTTTCTACTGGTAAGGGGGGAAACACACAAATCAGGAAAATTGATTAGAAGTTATGTTGTCAGAGAACTCGGTAAAATAACTGAAAAAAGAAAACTATTACTGTCATTCCACCAGAATGCTACAGTACTCTTACTGATCTATTTCTAGATTCAGAATTTCCAGTTGCAAAGTATAGTGGAAAAACAAATGAAGACAAAGAGAGATCAGCGCAAGACATACAAGAAAAATCCTTCACTAATAACATTCCTATGCAAAAATTGCCACAAGCTGATATGTTCTGGAGAAGACATACAAGTTATTGAAAACATGCATCATGTCAGTGTGAAAAAAGATTTCCAGTAAGTGTTTATGAACTGTGTTTAGTGTTTATCTCTTCCGGGCAGAAACAGAATTTCTTTTCAGCAGGGCTGTACAGGGCCTGTAACCCCCTAGGTCCTCTGAGGAAAGAAAAATAAATTATTCCAATATTTTCAAGCCCTAGGCTCTATGGAGTTTACAGTGAATGAGTTTGAAGGAAATGTTTGTTCTTACCCCTGATTTTGAGGTGACCAGAGTTTGAAACTTTGGAAAAAGATACAGGTTCTGCGGTAATATTAACTAGGTCACTTACTATATAATGCGGTATGTATTCCACAGTGTAACTGTAACGAAAGATGAATACTAGTTACCCACATACTGACACCAGTAACGGACCCAGGATAAGAGTTTGACTCAGACAACATATTGTCCATGAGCTGTGCATGGACAATTGTATATTTAGAGGATGTTTATACTGGTGACACACCCCTTTTCATTCTCCCAGTGTTCTTGCCCCTTCTTATCTCCGTTGCAAGAGATGCTGCCTAGTTTGGTAAATATTTATGTTAAACTGTGTTTAACTTTTCAGCACCATGATGGCAGGAGGTGACTTTCTCTTCCCACTTGTAATGGAAATTAAGAGACCAAGAAAATGTTTTAATTCAACTTCAGTTGCGTTTGCTTACTACAGTAAATGTGTAACGAGTAATGTACATTACAGACCAGGCATGCTTTGCTAATTCTATGGCAAACACCATCCAACCAAGTTACTGCCCTTCAAAGTTCTCGGGTTTTTGAGACATATCTCTGGTATAATTTGTAAAGACTTTTGGAAGAGTTAAGGAGAAATTAGTACCCATATGTTGAAAAAATTAAAATTGAGCTACAATGCTAAACATTAAACTGTTTTTACTGTGAAACTGTCTTGTCAGCATAATGTTATCAGTCAATTCAAACTACAGGGTAATAATTCTTATAACCCCTCAGCACAGGCTAATAGTAACCCTCAAGATCAAGTACTCCCTAGACTAAAAGATGTAAGAATGTGCATGTACTCTGGAGCTCTTGATAGTCAGAACCAAATGATTCTGTTAAGGGGTAAGGTTGGACTACAGGGAATAAAAAGAAAACCTCTAACTTTCAGGTATCATGTCTTTGACAGCTCCATGGCACCTGAAAGAAACAAGCTAGATCTGTCCCCTATTATAATGAAGAGCCTGCTGCTTCTCCTTTAAGATGTGTGAGAGAGCATGCAACTCCCAAAATGCTACAAAAGGACGCATGCATTACAGTTGTATTTCACCATTACTTAGGAGCATGAAATATGTCCTTGTGTTTACTCCAACTCCTGAATGTGCACAACAGTCAGAGAGTTTCCGACCTTTTAGGTTTCATATCTGACTTCAGCAATTGTAGTCGCTGTGTGCTTAAGGCTGTATGTAGCATTGAATGACCAGTGTATTTTGATGCACGCTTTCTGACTGTTTTTCAGAAGTCTTTACCATACAAGAGAAAATAAGACACTGCAAGATAAGCATGCCGATTACCAGACAAATGGGGAAATTATATGTAAAGATTGTGGACAAGTGAGGAACAACTTCTTTTCATACTTCTATATTGTTGTTGTCTGTACTTATTTCTGTCTAATGATCTTGTCTATTTTATCTGAAATGTAATTTCCTTATACTTGCAGGCTTGGGGAAACATGATGGTTCACCGAGGTCTTGACCTGCCTTGTCTAAAGATTAGAAATTTTGTGGTTGTATTTGAAGACAAGAAAACAACAAAGCAAATTTTTAAGAAATGGGGTGAACTGCCCGTCCAGTTCCCTAGTTTTGATTATGCAGCTCACTGTCCTTCAAGTGATGAAGACTAAAGACTCAGAAGTAAAATAAAAGCCCTTTTGAACTTTTCTGTAACTTCTGATTAGAAGCTCCTGTGTCCTATTGAGAGTGCTGCATCATAAACACTGTGAAAGCTCCTGGGCAAGAGGAAACTGTCTTGAAGAGGAAAAAAAACAAGGAAGGAGAAGGACGAAGTCACAAGACTGCTGTCTGCATTCAGATTTTCAGTGGTACTCCAGGACAAAGATGACCAAATACATTGCAGTCACGTGTATCCATGGAACAAATTCCTGTCTCTACTAACTACAGTCCGTCATGGGATGACAACACTGTCAAAAGTGTGTTAGGTGACCTGTTGTTAAGCACAGAACATAAGACAGGCATCCTGAGACTTGCTGTGGGGATTATTTTCTCTTTTTCTTCCTGGTACAACCCCTTTGAAGACAAAAGTGTCTCAAAAGAGGAGCCATGTAAAAGAACAGATTTGCTGAGTGTTATTTCTGAATTGTTGTTGCTTTATCAGTGTTTTCATGACTGAGTTCTTCCCCTCTTATCTT